TCTGATCACTATAAGATTTGTTCTGCTGTTTCTTTGGTACTGTTAAGAACAGCTTATGTGAGAGAGCCAATGTAGTATAGTGGTCTATGAGTGGGAAGTTTGTCATCTGTTCACAGCTTTGTCACCACTTCACTTGTGTGATCTTGGATAAACCACTTGAAATCCGTGCTTCTTGGTTTATCCATCTGTAAAATTAGTATACCACCTCTCTACTGCATAGGGCGTTGAAGAGACATAATATTTGCAAATGACTTTGAGAACCTTGAGTAAAAGTACATATTTTTTACATATATATATATATATGCAAAGTATTTTTGTACTTAATCCTATCTGATTTTTTTTGCTTTCTTTTCTATTGTCAAACATACTCCCCTCCTTCTACAGAGGATGAGACTTTAATTTTAATGAGGCAGTTCTCTTCATCCATTATAGATTATTCTCAAGAGCATAAGGAAATAAAGCTAACTGGTTGCAGACTGTAATACTACTGAAAACACTTTGGTTACACTGTCCATATGCTAATTTGGAGAGCTTTGTGTGTGGTTACAGAGATTATTTGATGCAGGTCAAACTTAATTAGTCTAACAATCTTATCAGGACCAGTACAGTCTTCTACTTTTTGTTAAATAGTTATCAACTGTGTTTTAAATCCTGAGAGACTATCTTGTGCGGTTAACATGTTCTAATCCTATGGAAATTAACAACAAAATACATGCCAAGCTATCCCCCTGAAGTTCTCTTCTTTCTGTTTTTTCACTTTTTCAGCTTTCATATCTCCCTCACAAATTTTTCTCTGCAAAAAGACTGTAGTGTCATGTGGCTGTGTCACTCAAACACCTATTTAACTGATCCTTGGCCTACAGGCTTCTCAGAGAGACAAGGTGGGTAATGTAATATCTTTTATTGGATCAACTTCTGTTGGTGAGAGAAACACACTTTTGAGCTTACACAGAGCTCTTCTTCAGGTCTGAGAAATGTACTCAGAGTGTGACCACTAAATACAAGATGAAACAGATTGTTTAGCATAAGTAGTTAATACATATTTTAAGGGACCATGCAAGGTGAAGGGCCTGTTAACTGGAGATAATAACAGAATTACTCATGAACTTGCAGATGCTATGATGGCTCATGCTGCTTTGCTCAGTTTTCATTCAAAGATCTTGGTATCAACCAAATTCTTTTAATTTAAAATCCAAGACTGAGCTTATGATGCTTGTGCTCTCCCAGTAAAAATTTTGTTTCATCCCTGCTTTTCCTCTCCCTTTAAATCTGTTTTTATTTTTCCTGACTTCAAAGCTTGTAATCCTTGGAGTCATCTGAGTCTGATTAATATGAGCCTCAAAAAAAGAAAATAAAGTTCTGACTGTGAAACTGTCTTGTACCATCTCACTAGGATACAAAGATTCTTAATCATGCCTGTATCACGTTCTAACTGAACTATTCCCAATAAATCATGTATCCCTCTCTTTATCACTTCCCTCAAGAGTATGCTTCTTTTGTACCACTCAGCTGTTGAGACTGCAGAAACTTACTCCTTATCTAAGAGAATTTCCCTGGTCTCCAGTGAAACATCAGTGTCTTTAAAATTATTTTGCTTACACTGAAGTCATTGCCATGTTCCTTTATACACTGCCTTGGAGAGCTTATTATCTCATACTTCCCAAGGCATACCCAACTTTCCATTTTAAGTAAAGATTAGTGCTTGATCTCAGCTAGGATTAGTAGCATTAAATCCCCATAATATGAAATACAATGTACTACCTTTCTAGGGTTGTATTCTCAGGGTACATCTATACTATGATAGAAGACCTGCAGCATGGCCACGGCTGGCCCAGGTCAATTGACTCTGACTTGGGCTACAGGGCTATAAAATTAGAGTGTAGACTTTTGGTCTCTGGGGGTACGTCTACACTGCAATTAGACATGCACAGCTGGCCCATGCCAGCTGACTCGGGCTCGTGGGGCTTGGGCTGTGGGACTGTTTAATTGCAGTGTAGATGTTCAGGCTTAGGGTGGAGTCCACGCTCTAGAACCCTGAGAGGTGGGAGGGTCCCAAAGCTCGACGTAGGTGGGTCCAGAGCTTGGGCTGCAACCCACGTCAGAACATCTACATCGCAAATTAAACAGCCCCATAGCCCGAGCCCCGCGAGCCTGAGTCATCTGGCATGGGCCAGCCATGGGTATCCTAATGGCAGTACAGTACAGGCACACCCTGAGACCCCACTAGCCCCCGGGCCCTCCCCTTCTGCACAAGGCCCTGCCCCTCATCCTTCCCTTCTGCCCCTCATCCCCTGCAGGAGCCCAGAGCACCCCCACCATGCCCCCAACCCCCTGCCCCTGCCTCCAACCTGAGCCCCGAAGTGCTGGAAAGCCAGGGGGCGTGGTTCCAGCATCCCAAGTGCCAGGCGGGCAGCACAGCTGCAGAGCCAGCACCAGCCACCATGCCAGCGCTCCCCAGCCCCAGCCCAGAAGAGCAGGAAGGAATTGCACTGCAGGAAAGGGCATGGGGGTGGAGCGAGGGCAGGGCCATGCCAGGCTGTTTGGGGAGGCATAGTCTCCCCTGGCCTATGATACCCGCAGCCCATGCTGCAGCCTGAGCCTGAATTCAACACTGCTATTTCATAGCCCCACAGCCTGAGCACTGCAAGCTTGGGTCAGTTGACCCATGGTCTGAAACTCATTGCTGTGGGAGTTTTACTGCCACATAGACATATCCTAAAGAATCTGAAGAACTCAGAGGTTTCTCTGCTATTATAGTGAGACTTCTGCCTCACAGATCCATTTCACTGCTCCTTGTCCCTTGCATCATATGTCTATACGATTTTCCATTGTTTTTTCCTGTTTGTGCTTTACCTGATGCAAAATGCTTCACTTGGGGTAAAAAAAACTGCACCAAGGTAGAATCAGAATATTTTAGCCATATAAAGATATATGATAGCTATACATGAGATCTCTAACAAATGTTACATTTAAAAGGTCAGCTGCATCAGTGTTTTGTTTAACTTGGTTTCCCCAATGTAGGGTTCATAAAGACACACGAGTTGTTTTAAAATTGGGGCTAAATACGAATAGTCTATTTCATAGATAAAAGTGAGATATGTGGTAAATAAAAACTCTATGCCACTAGTAAAACTCTACACCTTTACTCCTCGTGCATTTTTGACTCCTTTTTTGTCCCGCTTTCCCCTTCCTCCCCACTCCCCTCCCCCGCCCACTTCCACCGTTTCCAGAGCCCCTAAGTATCATTTCTGGACATATGTGCAATTTTGGCAGTCAGCATTTTGAAAAACAAGGTTTTTTATTTTAATTTATTCTTACTAGAAGCAATCAAAATAAATGAATATAGATAGATTTCATGCCTTTTTCTTTATTAAGAGGAAAATATGCTTTTGTATGCAGTTAGCACATTTCTAAATAAATTCATTTATTTATTAATTAATTGTACCATCTAATGACAGAGAAAAAAGGAGAAGTGTTAATTCATACATGATTATCATGAATTTTTTGAAAAAATTACTTTTATGCAGTTAATAAATTCTAAATATAAGTTGGCTAAATAACTGCACAAAGGCTACAAAGGATTAGTGATAGAAAGAGAAAATACGGACCATCACAATTGTTCTACCGCCTCCTTTCAGAGTTTTCCAAGAAAAGGTTTTTTTTTAAATCTCATAATGTAAAAGGGCAGAGAGAAGGAAAAAGCAGCTTACTCCACTGATTGTCACTAGCCAAATGGCAGTAATACCGATGTGGGTGGATAGGTGTGTGTTCATATTTACCTGTATTCCTCTGTCAAAAGACGTAATTAATTTCTTTATTTAGACACGTACCAGCTGCATAAAAAGCATATTTTCTCTTAAAGTGAGGGAAAGTCATGAAATCTATATTTTTTACTACTTCCACTAATGAGAAATTAAATACAATTTTTAAAATGCCCAAAAATGGCCAATGGTGCAAAAAATGCACACTTGTTAAAAAAAACAATACATAAGGGACCTTGAAAGGGCAGAAGAGGGCAGGACAAAAAGCAGCAGGGAGGCATGGAAACCTGTCAAAAATACATAATGTGTAAAGTTAAAGAGTTACTACTACCCATTGCACTTTTCTAACAGGTAGGGGTATTATCCTCAATATTCTGGATAAATTCTAAATTGGGGATTACATTTTACCTACCTACATTCCCTCTGTAATTTTTCTTGGATAATGTATTCTTAACTGTCTGTGCTAAACCATTGGGTAGCATTCCTAGATGCTGTTAAACCATTGTTCCATTTCACTGTGAAAGTGATTGGACTTCATGACTGTTTGCTAAGAAAGTGTAAAAAAGCCGTTTATATAAGTGCTTTAGGATCCTTGAGAGTCACTACATAGATGCATTATGGTTTTTATTGTCATTACTTCATACAAATGTTATGTCGCGTTGCAGAAAACTGGGAGTTTTGCAATTGACAAATAAGAGCACGATCAGTCAGTGTAGCCCCAAATGTTTTACAGTAATAAAAGTTACAAGACTTTGGCCATTATATGGGATAAATTAACAAAAGCTTTGAAAACGATTACTTTATTTTAAAGTAGCATTTTAATATTTATTTTTGGCATTTATTAATTTTAATCTGTATATACAAGACTTGGGACAAGGATTTACCTCCATCAAATCTATCATCTGTGATTATAACCATTATAACACTGTGTACACTGTATATAATACTTACTCTGACAGAACGAGTAACAGAGTGGGAAAGGAAGACTTCTAAATCTGTTAAATTGAACAATAACAGCACAATATCTACCAAACATATTTGTAGACACTGTGCCTTTTAGGACATAAATATGCTCGAGTGATTGCAAATAAACAAAGCTTCTTTGTGAATACTTGTGCCCCTTCCACACAGTATGTCGCTAGAATCAACAATATGTGAATAATATGCTACGTAGTAATTTATGTAACAGTACATGGATGGCTGAAGACTTTGTAAAGGTAACTTACTGCAAATACTTACACAATCATCTGTGGCATCTTTGACAGCAGTAATGGTAAATACCATCATTAAAGGCACAATGGTAGTAAACCAAGACAAGGAGGATATTTCTGGGATCAGCTGCAAGATAAAGTTCTATTAAATACTTTTAAAAAAAATCTTAGTGAAATTTCAGTAACAATATTTCAAAGTAACTAATAATTTTCATAAAAAGTAGTGCTGAAGTAAAGAAAATCTGTCACATTGTCGTATAATTAATACACTCTGAGGGTAAAATTGCAGCAAATGGAATATTGTGTAAGTGAAGAGCCAAAAGGGGGTGAGCTGGAAGAAAGAGAAAAAGAAGAAGAACTTGAGAGAACTATGGGGAGAAGAGTAGATGTGGGAGAGAAAGAATAAGAATGGATAGCACAATGAAAGAAAAATGGGGAGAGAGAAAAAGAGAAACAGAGAAAATGAAGCAAAAATAGAAATCAAGGAAACAAACAATGAGAACAGAGATGAATAACTCATACTGACTTCAGTGGGAGGTATTCATAACCTATGAGAGGAGAATAGGGCCCAAGTAAAGCAAAAGGCCATGAAACAATACGAAGTGTAAGAAGACAGAGTGTGAACTAAATAACAGTGAGTAAAAACCCAAAATACATTTTGCCAGGTATATGGAACCTTAAAGAATGCAACACAAGGGAGAACACTCCGAAAGAGGAAAAACTCCAAAAAGTGAGACAAGGTGGGTGAGGTAATATATTTTATTGGACCAACTTCTATTGGTGAGGAAGACAAGCTTTCAAGCTACATAGAGCTCTTCTTCAGAGGCTTCTTCTTAAAAGGTCCCAGGCCTCAAGAACTGTGTGGCTCGACAGCTTGTCACCAATAGAAGTTGGTCCAATAAAAGATATTACCTCACCCACCTTGTCTCTCTTAAATCCTGAGACCAACATGGCTATAACACCACTGCATACAAAAAGTGAGACAGAACAGAGAAAGGGGATGGCGAACAAATGAGAGCCACAAACAAAGAATGAGAGATTAGAAAAATGTTTATTAAAAAGCAGGAAAGATTTTTATTTTATTGAGATTTTTAAAAAATATTCTGTGCCAAACCTGTACATTTGACTAGAGTTTCATTTAAATATAAATGCAAAATTCAGATTTATTCAGGTCCAGATTTCAAGTCTCCAAAAAGTTTGGATTTGGGATTCCATTATAGAGAGACTGTAATCATGAAGTACTGATTGGGGATGTGGATTTTAATTTAGACAAGAATTGTCTTCTATATCACCTCACATACTCTAGACATCCTACAGGGATGATCATTAGGGCTGGTTTACTTATCCAATTAACTTAAGTTTAAAAAGGAACAAGCAAACCAGTTTGGGTAAAATAAGAACTAACCTGGGCCTTCACCCATACCTCAAACTGCATCTGATCATTTGAGGAAATGCCCTATCAAAGAAGTCTGGTGCTGCTGCTCCTTCTCTGCTTCACCACATGTACCCAATAGGCCCTCTTTCTCCCCCTTGTCATGTCCATTCAATATTATCTTGGGAACACTCATAATAGAGTTAATCAGAAAGTCATTTTAGGCTATTCGATAGTTGTCGCTCAATAGCTACATTTTAATACCCATGAAATCTGATCAACATAGAATAATTTTATTCATTTGTTTGGTATTGAAAGTGGCCATTGCATTGCTATTAACACATATAATTGGGTCTCTTTGTTAAGAGAAGAGAATATTATCAAAATTAGACTTCGGAGAAAAAAGAAAGTTATACATCACCTGTAAAATCAGAAGGAAAAGGAAGTAAGCATTTGCAACCCTCTGGAACTGTTCAAATAAATTAACTGGCAAGAAAGTAAGAATGTTGTATTTAGACGTTTTGATGCGATTGTTCTGAAAAATAAGAGAAAGATGTAAAGCATGTTAGTACCAGCAGAGAAAAATCTAAGCTTATAAAAAAATCTACTTCAAGTTTTGAACACTCAGCAGTAATGATACTTAAAATCAGAAAGTCATCTTGTAGCATCTCAGTTTTATTCCTTAATTAGTTTTGTTCCTTCCTTTGTTCAATTATTCCTTAAATTGTTGATTATAATTATCACTTAAATTATTGGTAATAGAAGTTCTAATTTTCAACCATGTTTTAAATCAAGATATAAAATCTTTAGGCAATAAATGGGAGCTTCCAGATTCCTTATCGCTAAACTCTTATTGAGGGCAGGTAAGAAAAGTGCACACACACTAGGAGAAAGGGTGGATTCAGGAAGGGTTATAGACACATACACTCCATATTCAGGAGCAATGCCTAATTGTGCAGGGTTGGGAGGGGGGTCGGGAAGGGGATTCCAATACGGGTTTCATGCATTTCCCAGCAGATGTCACTGCAAGACAGAAGCACAGAGGAGGCAGACATTAAGCTATGCTAAGCAAATTGCACACGCACACACATTTGCTTGATTCTTTTACTTTAATTCTCTAAAATGCACAACCCCATTCAACACAACCTACATTTAGCTTGGCTGCTATGAAAGCCTGGAATTTCTTTTTGGGAGGGCTGCAAGACCCACAAAAAGAACATATTTCACTTCTGAAGTGGACCTTGTGATTCTGGTTATCCTATTAGCCTACTATGTATTGCCCTCACTTCTGCTGTTTTACTACAACAAATTTTTTCCTTGGTGACAACTGTGATTACTTTTACAATAATATGAATATAAATAAAACTTAATCATTCATTAATACATATCTAATTGTAACTTATGCAGCATGGTATAATACAATACATATGAAAGCATGTACCAGAGTATATTGTTCTTTCAATAGGCTAGCAAACTAATATCATGGGGTAAATTAGTTTAGTCTGTATCAGCTGTTATTGTGCAACTCAGAATATCACCTCAGAGAGGTCTGTCTTTTCAAGATTTGTAACTAATCCAAAATTTTGCTAGTAACCAAAAGGAAAATGCTTTGTAAGGAATATTTATAATTTGCTGCTGGTACAATGTCTGTTATAGCCAAGACAAAAATGAAAGTTCATCTGAAAGTTGTACTGCTCCAATCATTTCCCCAAAGGGTCCGTTTTAGTGTCCAAATATATATCCTCCATGCCATTAGTATGCAAAGCAGTAAGTTGTGCAAGAATGGCCAGAGAAAACCCATAAATGCTGTTACAACTCAGAATGAGGTCCACCAGTGGACACTCACTAGATAGTTGTATTTGGATCAACCCTCAGGGTTCCATATGCTCTTGGCCTTCTGGGTCTGAGCAGAGTCTAGGCCAGGGGTGGGCAAACCTACAGCCCGTGAGCCAGATGTGGCCTGCGAGCCATTTTAAGCCAGCCCGCGAGCTCCCACTGGGGAGCAGGGTCTGGGGCTTGCCCCGCTCCGGCGCTCCAGCCACGGCGCAGGGTCGGGGGCCACACCATGCAGCTCCCAGAAGCTGCAGCATGGCCCTGCTCTGGTTCCTATGCGCTCCAATGGTCCCCTCCGGCACTCCAATGGGAGTTGCAGGGGAGGTGCCTGCCGACGGGGCAGCATGCAGAGCCACCTGGCTGCGCCTCCGCGTTGGAGCCGCAGAAGGGCCATGCTGCTGCTTCCGGGAGCCGCTTGAGGTAAGCGCCCCTGGGAGCCTGCAACCCCATAGCCTCTCCTCATACCCAAAACCCCTGCCCCAGCCCTGATCCCCCTCCTGCCCTGCAAACCCCTCGATCCCAGCCTGGAGCACCCTCCTGTACCCCAAACCTCTCATCCCCAGCCCCACCCCAGAGCCCGCACCCCCAGCCGGAGCCTGCACCCCTTCCCGCATCCTTGATTCCCCTCCTGCCCTCCAAACCCCTCAGTCCCAGCCCAGAGCACCTTCCTACACCCCAAACTCCTCATCCCCAGCCCCACCCCAGAGCCTGCACCCCCAGCCAGAGCCCTCACCTCCTCCCGCACCCAACCCTAATTTTGTGAGTATTCATGGCCCGCCGTACAATTTATATTCCCAGATGTGACCCTCGGGCCAAAAAGTTTGCCCACCCCGGTCTAGGCACTGGCTCTGGGTTTCTAGGCACATTCTCACGGTAAAGATCCTTAGTCTAGGACCCCTTCTGAGATATAGGGCTCTGCAGTCCTAAGCCTAGGAAAACTAGTGTCAGCTCTCCCAAGCCTCCCCAGTAGCTCTTGCAAGCACCCAGAGTTCCACCAATGCTGTGGACCTTTCAGATTACTGTTTCCCCTTCAGGGACTACATGATAGTGAAAGCAAGTAACACATACTTTATAAAGGAATTTCTGAACCAATCACATTTTACTCATGGACAAAGCACAAAAGATAAACAGATCTACAGAAAACAACAAAAACCTGCACTCAAAAGCCTCCCTCCAGTATCCTCACCATTTCAAGAACCCTCAGGTTTTGGTCAGCCCTTCCACAGCCCTGCGTCCCAGGACCATCCTTTCTTCCTGCACAGCCTTGCAATCTGGTCTCCTCTCTCTTTAAAATGGCAGGTAAGAAACCCTTCCTTTTATAAGTTTCCAGTCCCCAAGTTTCCAGTCCATTCCCATTGGCTTCAAGTCCCTCATCAGCTGATCCATTACTTAGTTACAAGCCCACCTGGAAGAACTGGTTCATCGGGTGGCAACTAGCTCATTGTCCTAGAATGCTTCCATTTGAATTGGAGATCCTCCAGGTTAACAAACCTTGATTGTTTTCCATTGTTAGCCCTCTGACAACACCTCCAGGAATCCCAGTTCAGTATGGAGATTAAAAGACAACGGGGAAGATACTGTGCAGTTTTACAATCAAAATGGCATTCATGAAACAAAATTGGAGTTTACAGTTTGATATAGATACATACAGACATACATTAGATGCTATCCTGAATCACTGAGTGGATACTGTAGGCTAAAATCTGGCTGCCACATGAATACAATGAAACCCACAAACAGAGGAGGAATATGGGGCAGAAGTTCTACATGCAGAGATACTGGCTCCCCCAAAAAGATCCATGCAGAAAACACGTGACAAGAACCAAAAGGGGTTTTTCCTGGCAGGGCTACATTAGTGTGCTTATGGTTCCTGACCCATGCAGATTCTTCTTTCTTTTAGGAGAACTTATTTGCTGAGTCAATAGTTTGGGAGCCTACAATCACAAGGAGCCACTGATGGTCAGACTATGGACACAATGTACTGATGCTTTTGCAGCTTCAATGTGTGTCTATTTTGCGGGCATTTTTTCAGATAGCCAGCAGATGGCCATATATTTGGTATACGAATTCTTATCTATTATTGCTTTCAATATACACCTCTACCCCGATATAACGCTGTCCTCGGGAGCCAAAAAATCTTACCGCGTTATAGGTGAAACTGCATTATATTGAACTTGCTTTGATCAGAAGGAGTGCACAGCCCCGCCCCCCCCGGAGCACTATTTAGTAATTTCTCATCTTGATGTATGTACTCAACTATTCTGCAGACCTCTTAAAGACACTCCCCCCAGTTTTTACAATGTGGTTCTACTCTGAAAAGCAAGTCTGTAAAAATGATATTTAATTACTTTGCTGCCTGTATGTTTTCAGCTCTTTTTACGTTAGTGATAAACACAGGCGGTGGGGCTTACTATTTTTTAATTCCTTTTATAAATGCAGAGGCAGTACAGCTATGGGACAAAGAATTTGGTATTTATTCTGGCTCAAGCATCATCAACAGAATTGTTAATTAAATTCCAACTAAATGAGTTCTTTGCACTGGTCTTCAGTGCAGAGGTTGTGAGGGAGATTGCCACACCTGAGCCATTCTTTTAGATGACAAATCTGACGAACTATCCCAGATTGAGGTATCAGTAGAGGAGGTTCTGGAACAAATGATAAATTAAGCAGTAATAAGTCACCAGGATCAGATGGTATTCACCCAAAAGTTCTAAAGGAACTCAAATATGAAATTTCAGAGCTACTAACTGTGGTAAATAACCTTTCACTTAAATCAGCTTCTGTATCAGCTGACTGGATGATAGTTAATGTAACGCCAATTTTTAAAAGAGGCTCCAGAGGCGATCCTGGCTATTACAAATCAGTAATCCTAACTTCAGTACCCGCTAAATTGATTGAAACTATAGTAAAGAACAGAATTATCAGATACCTAGAGGAACACAATATGTTGGGGAAGAGTCAACTCGGCTTTTGTAAAGGGAAATCTTTCCTCATCAATCTATTAAAATTCCCTGGGGGCATCAACAAGCACATGGACACGGTGATCCAGTTGATATAGTGTACTTGGATCTTCAGAAAGCCTTTGACAAGGTCCCACATCAAAGACTCTTAAGCAAACTAAGCAATCATGGGATAAGAGGAAATCGGTTACTGGTTAAAAGACAGTAAACAGTAAGAATAAATGGTCTTTTTCACAGTGGAGAGAGGGAAATAACAGGGTCCCCCAAGGCACTGGCACCTGTGCTGTTCAACATATTCATAAATTATCTGGAAAAGGGGGTGAACAGGGAGAGGCGACATTTGCAAATGATACAAAATTACTGAAGATCGTTAAGTCCAAAACTGACTGCGAAGAGTTACAAAGGGATCTCACAAAATTGGGTGAAGGGGCAACAAAATGGCAGATGAAATTCAGTGTTGATAAGTGCAAAGTAATGCACATTGAAAAACTTAATCCCAACTATAGATACAAAATGAAGGGGTCCAAATTAGCTGTTAACATTCAAGAAAAGATTTTGGAGTCATCATGACGACTTCTCTGAAAACATCTGCTCAACGTGCCGTAGCAGTCAGAAAAGCTAACAGAATGTTAGGAACCACTAGAAAAAGGATAGATAATAAAACAGAAAAATATCATGACCACATTATATAAATCAATGACTGTCTCCTGCAATCACCTTGCAGTCTGTTATATCTTTTATT